GCTGCTCCAAGGAAAAAACTTCTGTGTCTCAAAAAGTTTCTGAGCTTGCCGTAAAAGTTTCACAAGGCATTTGAGCGACACCCACATATGTTTTACCTTTCCATGAAGGCCCATACCTGCACAGCAATCCTGAAAGAGGCTTATGAAGATGAGGCTGCTATAGAGAGGCATCCCTTGTTTACCGTGAGAAAGAAATACATAGAGCTGATGAATGATTCTGATAGGATCCTAAAACAACGGAGGTCAAATACTCACTTTGCCTATTGAGAAGTTGCTTATTCACAGTCTGCCTCAGATTTAAATTCAGGATGCAATGTTGAAGATTGTATAGTAGTGGAGAAGTGCTCCTTTTAAGTACATGTTAGCAACAACTTGCAGCAAGATAGAGGTCTGTATATCTTTCAATCATTGGCTGATGTTACAAAATATTGGAATTGTTTTATAATATTAAAATGTTGTATAAAGTCATTCAGAGATTAAGAATGAAATCTATCCCTGAGCCCATTCTGCTTTTCCCTACATTCTCCAGTCCAAGTAAGAGCTTCATGATATTGTCATATGGCTTATGTTATGTTCTTTTTCTACCTCTTGCTCCTTACTTTTGATGAATTAAACCATGGAGGTTTTTGACTGTCAAGCTTTTATTCACTGCGATCATCTGCATCCACCTCAAGTACTTATTCTTTATTTAATCCCTTATTCGTGCAGTTATTTGAGTAATTTTTATTCTTATACTTGTTTGAGTGGTACCTTTTTTTTTTTTTTGACAATAAAAGAAAATTTTAATTAGCAAGGTTAAATTTTACAAACAAATCCAATATTAGAAAGATGATAAAAACACCTATAGGATCCATCTTCCTACCTTCTAGAAAAGGTGAAAGAAAGAAAACCTTCATATGCCAGTGTCTTTCAGAGACTTCAGAAACCAAAGTAGTTTACTTGCCATTAAAATTTTACTTATTCCTCACATGAATTGCTTTGTTCAGGCTAACACCGAGGGGTTAAGAACCGCTGATGTTTCAGTATGTTCATCACTGCTGGCTACTAGCTTGTGCAACTTTGGCCTCCACAAAAGACCTTATTTATAGGAAATGTACAGGGGCTAAAGGGGCCTTATTTGAGCGGCTCTGATATTTATAAGCAGCTAAGCACTTGTGCACCAAGTGCTTGTGCCTACTCAACTTTCTTTTTGGAAATGGAAGCAAGTGCTTGACAACATTTTATGTAGGTGCTTGTAAACTGCTCACAAACTTCGAGGAATTAAATCTCTGTGCTAATTTGGAGAATATACTACTCTTGTTTCAGGTTTGAGTTTTGATTTGTATGTTCTGCTCCTTTTGAGTTCAACTGCTAGATGAAGTTGCAATGTTAACCCACATTACTGGCACTATGTTTCTAATTGCAAGTGGTTTTTCTAGGTTTCAGGAGGACTATAGGAGTGTCCTTGGGATGTTGTTTGACGAGACTTCTTCCTATTGAAAGGCGCTTTTGATCAGTGTGTTGCTGGTGTGAAATAGTCTTGATGATTGTTGGGTGTGCATTAGATGGACTTTAATGCTGGTGATTGATCTGGTAACATAACATCAGATAATAGGTCAGTGTACACGAAGCTAAGTGTCGTACTTATGGAAATCATCAAATTACTCTGTTGTGCAATCTTGGCACTCCGATTAGCTGTGCATTCCAGCATCAGGGTGAGGTTGTGACATAATATCTGCATATGATCTATGTTCTACGACTTTTATGCGGACTAGAATTTTCATAACCATACCCGCCTAAAAATCTTATACCCATCCCCGCCCCACCACCCGTGGTGGGTACAATATCCATATCCATACTCGCCCCGTCGGGTACAAGATAGGATCCATCCCCATCCCACCACCCACTTAGATATCTATACCCACCCCAAAACTGTCCCAAACCCACTGCCATGATGCCGTATATATCACATTAATGACAATTATATCACACTATCACTACTAAGTATGCCACCACCCACTTGGACTCTTATTGTTTAGGCGGATTGGGGCTTAGGGGGTTTTAAGGTTCATAAATTCTAAACTATTCTAAAGGAAATATGAGGCGGGAATGGGGCGGGTCTACTCTAAAATCCATACCCGCCCCATCACCCATGGCGGGTACACATTTTATACGACTCATCCCCGCCCCATCACCCGCCAAACCTCCCTCCATCCCCACCCCACTGGGATGGGTCTCCCATTTAACCCGATCCGATGTCATCCCTAGTCCCGGGAAATGGAAATTGTGGATATTTTGGGGGTGAGAGAAGTTTTTGAAACATGAAAAGTACTTGGGATTGCCGACAATCATTGGGAAATCGAAGAAAGCCATTTTTGCCACAATAAAAGAGAGAATCTGGTGGAAAATCCAAGGGTGGAAAGAAAAGCTCTTATCTAGGCCCAGGAAAGAAATCTTGATCAAGGCGGTAGCTCAGGCGATTCCAACTTATATGATGAGTATCTTTAAAATCCCTGAGACTTTAATTGATGAGATTCATGCCTTATTGGCTCGGTTTTGGTGGGGGTCAACAGAGACTTCTAGGAAAATGCATTGGCACAGTTGGGATTCATTGAGTAAGCCAAAGTCGATGAGGGGTTTGGGTTTTCGAGACCTTAAGGTTTTTAACCAAGCTCTCTTGGCAAAACAAATGTGGAGATTTTACAACCACCCGAACCCTTTGCTTCATGCCATCCTTAAAGCTCAATATATACTTCAAAAACAGTTCAATTTTGGAGGCTTTTCGAGGATATGACCCAAGGTACTCTTGGAGGAGTTTGTGGGGTTCCAAGGCGTTGCTATTAGATGTTCTAAATTGGAGGGTTGGAAATGGAAGGGATATTCGGGTTTGGCTTGACTCATGGATTCCTGGGAATGTGATACCCACTCATGACATCAATTTTGACCCAGAGCTCCGTGTTGCTGATTTAATAGACCATCATTGCAGTGAATGGATACAGGAAATACTGCAATAGTTATTCCCAGAGGAGGTATGTGACTGCATTCAACAAATCCCCTTATCTCTAAATTTGCCAAATGATTCCAAGTACTGGTGGCCATCCAACATGGCGAGTTCACTGTATGAACTGCCTACTGGCTTGGAAAGTTGGGGCCTGACCAGATGAGAAATAGTGCATGTAGTGCAAATAATCAAGTTTGGCGAATTATTTGGGGTCTAGGTGGTCTGCCTAAATTGTCTCACTTTGTATGGAATGCCTGTAAAGGTAGTCTGGCACTAAAATAGGAGCTGTTCAGAAGGCTTATTGCCACTGATGGGCTATGTGGTGGGTGTGGCATGGAGGAGGAATCAATCATTCATGCCTTTTTCGAATGTATTGAAGTACAGCAGGTGTGGGTAGTAAATGACCTCGCTACAATTATTGAACACTTCCTCATCAAGCTCCTTGCTGACAGGTTGCTCTGGATAGTTGAGAAGACTGACAAAGGGGTGCTCAGGAAAGTTCTGACTATTGTGTAGGCTGTCTGGTTCTGCAGAAATAAGAGAGTGCATGATAGCTCCTCTTTTGATATTGGTTTAACTGCTGCTGGCTGTCTAGGAATGGTGCATGATTACAATGTATATGCTGCCAAGGTCTTCAAACCGACTGCCTATACTGCTAATGCTACTGTGAGTAAATGGGTTCGCCCTCCATATGGCACTATCAAACTTAATGTTGATGCACATATTGGACTTGGGGCTGCTGGGGGCTGGGGAGTGGTTGCGAGGGACTGTGATGGTGTTGTTCTCTGGGCTGCTGCCAAGAAACTCCCTACATACTGGCATGTTGAATCTGCTGAAGCAGCTGCTGTTCGTTATGGCTGCCAGGTTGCTCTGCGATTGGGTATTACTAATGTGTGGGTTGAAATTGACTCTGTGAATGTGGTTAGCGACCATGCGACAGGCCAAGAATGTAAGCTCTCCTATTTGTTTGATTTATGATGATATTGATCGGCTTGGTAAATCTTTTCATGTGATTAAATTTTTCTCATGTACGTAAAGCAGGAAATACAGTTTCCCGTCTAGTTGCAAGATGGGACACTCGTAATTGTGATGAACTTATTTGTATTGGCAACATTCCACAATGAATTTTATCCTTGGCGGAAATTGATTTAATATAATCCTTCTAACAAAAAAAGTACTTCATATTGGGTTTCATTTGTAGGGATTTGAGATTTGTTAAGAAATACCTGTCAAAAAAAAAAAAAGATTTGTTAATAAATATTCCCTCCTTCTCATAATACAAAGCCTGTTTTCCTTTTTGGGTAAACCAACTTACAATGTCTATGTTTTATTTAAAGGTTGTACTTTTTGACATTATTACCCTCTTTTTGATGAGTTGCCATTTTTTTTTTTTTTGTACTTTTGACATCAATTTCTAACAGTTTCTCTCTCTATCTCTTCAACTATTCTCAATTACTTTTTCTTTCTCTCCATCTCTCTTTAACCGCACATGCACATATGTACTTCTAATCATTAGTTTAAAAGAATTTACAACTTTCTTCATTTCCGCGAAAAAAACCCGAATATGTTTTGTATTGTGAGACGGAGAGAGTAGGACAAATAAATAAATAAAAAATACGAAAAAGAAACTTACACCAAGGAGTAAGGAGTAATTAGATTTAGATTCTTTGATTAGATGACACTTTTTATAACAATCATCAAATACTCCTATACAAGGTAAAGCATCAACTGCAACATTATAGAGGAGGTTATAGGTATCTCATTCATAATTATTCCCGTAGTTCTTACTAATTCATTAACCTATCAACTCAATCTCAAATGTCAAAAAGGATATGAACATTTGAAGTCATACTTTGATACTCCATTACTCCGTATGATGAAATCAGTTTTAGCCGTTCTTGTTGCTTCGTACTTCATACTGGACAAACATTTGCAAATGAACGGCACACAATTTAAAGCATATTCTCATTGGCAAGCAAGGAGACATTGCCTTCATCATGAGACCATGACAACTTCCAAGTTAGGGTAAACTACAAAGTGTAGGCGAGTTTCCAAAATGTGAAGAAAATTATGGAGGACCATTTATTAAAACTACAATTTCCCCAAAAGCTCCCACACTAAAGCCTAGATGGTTGTTATGTGCTATCATAGATTTTGGCAACAAAAGTATACCATAAAGCGCTGTTGGGAGCAGCTAATATAAACTGTTCGACAATTTTAAACTTTTTGGGTGAATGTACATTGTACACAACATTGAGCAATTATCGTGAATATCAAGACCATAGCTCTTAACAAAAAGATCTTGAGCTATTTGCATATATTAAAAACCCCTGATCCTTGATCCAGGAATTCTGTAAGAACAAATAGTCTGCTGATGTAAACCTGTCAACGAAAAGTGCAAGAACCCAAGTAAGGCAACCATTTCAGAGCTCGAGACTCAAATATACAAACAAAAAATTGCTAGCCATTTGAGAGAAAATAATAAGCACAGCATACTTAGCCAGAGGTTTCTTTGTCTTGATGCATGCATGACTTAATGAAGTCAATGACGACTGGGACTAGTTCATCTTGGTGTTCAGTGAAAGAATGATTTGCCCCTTCAATAATGTGCAATTTGTGGTTTGGCATTATCTTAGAGAACTCATATGCATCCTCAACGGGAATGATTTCATCAGCTGTTCCATGAACAGTCAACACCCTGGAAAAATAGAATCAGAGAGAAGTCATTAGGAAATTGAAATAACAGTACTTTTAAGATAAACAATAATCTATACTTCTATACTTAAAAACACAAACCACAAATACATTCATATGCCACATATAATCACAAATCACTCATATGCCACATGTCACCTCCCTTAATCTTTCCTTTTTTTTTATCTTATTGTTTCTATAATATGCAAAGAAAATTCAGATGGACCAATGGTAAGAGGTACTATTTGAAGGAACCAATATCATACAAGTCCCAAGTTCAGATCTCCATGTCCCTAAAATGCAGTTCTGTAAGTTGATACAATGTAAGTGGAATACAAAGGCTAAAATGTAGGTGACAGAGGAGGTAGTTGAAAAATACTTTGGATAGAGGTAGTTGAAAAATACTTTAGTCAAAATTACAAATGAGACCATGAATGCTGCTGAATACAAAATAAACCTACAGTTCTTCAAAAGTGTCCCATAAAATCATTACAGGTGACAGGCATGGATTTCTATATTTATGAAAGTCCCAGCTCTTAAAGATATTGTCAGACCTAAGCATGACATGCAGGTAAGTCTGAATAATAATTCTGCCATAGATGAGATCAATCAATATTGCTAAGGAATGTTGTATATGCTCCAGAGGTGATGTGCTGATGGTTCTTAAATAATGAAAACCATAAAATACTTAATGGTTCGGTTAATCCAACAAATGGCAAGCAGGTTTTTTCCTAAGTACAAGTGTTTATTTCATGTAAACTATTTCAACTGCAGACATATATATTCAAGGCTAGATCAATGAGCAGTTTATAAGCAAGAACTAGTAAGAGAAGGATGCACAGCTCAAAACCACTAATATTGAATCCCATATGATTAAATAAAAGCTCCATTTAATCCATTCTCCCTCTGCCTAAACAGAGGAACAAGTCCAGCATGGATGAAACAGGGAGAGATGAATCTACAAAGTCCACCTCATACTTGATCCTAAGCCAATCAGATTACTCTCATGCTTGGAATAACTTTTAGTATAGATCTCTGGTCTCCACTTTGACTTTGTTGAAGAACAATAGACTTATAGACCCTTGCCAATCAAAAGTCAATTTCAAAACTATAAAGCCATATGTAAGAGTTTCAATGAACAGGTCACCTGTTAACCCCATTTTTCTTCAAGTATTTCCAGATCTTGTAATCTCTAGATGGTATTGTACGAAATTACCAGAATACCATACAATACTAATAACATTACCCTAAAGCCTAGAACAAGCTGCCATCTAGGAAGGGCGAGAAGGGCCAAATGTAAGCAGCCTTACCCATACAACAGCAAAAAGGCTCTCAGCTTTATCCCTACATTTACAAAAAGGCAGTTTCTGGAAAAGAAGGGGAGGGAGGTGAAGGGGAGGGAAGGGGAAGGAAGAATAATGAGTTTTCCTTCCAAATCTTTCCATTGTTGGAGGGATCATTTTCTTAGAATTTAATCCCTCCATTTCTCTCCCCTCCAATTCCCGTCATGCCTAATTTGCTATCCAAATGAAAGATACTCCCTCCCTTCATTTCCCTTCCCTTTTTTTCCCTCCATTTCCTTCAATCCAAACACACTCTAAAAGGCAATTCACTGGCATACAACTTTGTTCACCTTATAGAAACATTTCACTTAGTCCATCCACACTAATAGTAACCCAAACTGGAGACCCTTCCATTGACGTTGAAAGTGGACAGATTTTATCCTATTACATGTATAGTGAATGTACACAAAATCACTGCGTTCAAAATGCCAATTTGGCAGTAACAACAGCAACTATAACTTGGGAGCAGAGAGCAGCACGACGACCGCACGACCTTAATTCGGTGCACTCCAAACCACAAATTGTGATGTTAGCTGCAAACCATGACATGGATGATGCGGAAGACATGATATTCGACCAGAGACAGAGGTGCACTCCACACCACAAAATATGGTGCTGGGTGCAGCGAGTAACAAATGATATAGGACAGCTGAGACTCCGCCAAAGACAGAGAATCTTCATTATATTAATAGTTCCCCCCTTTTCTCATTTTTTTGGATTCCTCCCTTTATATCCCCTTGACCCCTCCATAAGATATGACGTGAAGGCAATAAGTTTTAACTCTTTAAGTAGTGAGAAAAGAGAAGAAATCAATCATGAGTAGATCCAGTAATAAGAAAGTGTAACAATAAAATTGGGACGAACACAAAAGGAAAATGTGACAATTAAAATAGAATAAAAAGAGTAAGTAAATATCTTCAACAAGTCAACATGAAAATAAAGCATTTGTCTTAATGTTATAGTGTGGCGAGAACAATGCATTTATAATAAGAACAAGGAAAAAAGAAATTCTTATTATTAAAAACAAAAATCAAATACAAGGTTTCTTTTTCAATTTTTTTAATAGGGTTGAGAAAGTAATATTCTACTTCAAACCTGCAATTTTTGTCAATCTTAAGGGCTGCCTCATGCATATCTGTATTCAAGCGCTCCATCAAACTTTCCTTGGTCACACGATACAATACATTTCCTAAAAGATACCAAAGCATTGTCAAGGCAATGTCATCAAGGACTTCAATTTTGACAATTGAAACAAGTATCAAGAGGGGGAGCAAATCCAAGCAATATACACGCAGAAAAGAGAGCCTAGAGCAAAATCAATCTTCACACATCTTTACATATTAGATGGTATTGGGGAAAAGTAGACCTAAATGAGACAATGTTTTGGTTATTGGATTGATACCTGTATTTTGACACTCCACATCCATGTATCCATTCTTTTCAATAGTCTCCATGAAGTCTTCACCCAAACGTTCTGCTATGCCTTTCTTTAAGTCATAACGCCCAGACAGATTGACAACCGTGCGGATATCATGATACTTTGAAGCATATAGTAAGACAACATCACCTCCTGTAAGAGCATGCTTTCAGCAAACTTATCTCAACAATACAAAGCAGTGATGTATTAATACATTCCCTTGAGTTTTACACAAATCCAGGTAACCTGATTGCTTATGCTAGAAATCTAGTAAACTTCAAATCTCAAACATTTCCCTAATGCTATTCAGCAAAAGCATTACAAATAGATAGAATAAAAGCAAAGTCAACACACTCCAGAGGACAGGGCCAAACACATGGTAAAATTATGCTTGTTTGAATTCTTCTTTGGTCTAAAACTCTAAATGTAGGCTGTAAAGTTAGTGAAGCTTAGTTTTTATGCAACGCACAACCCATATGTTTATGATTTCATTATTGCAATGTATGCCATAAGTTGTTTCATAAGTCATAACAACATAAATCTTCGCTAAAGTTAATATATTTGCAGCTTTAGAAACCAGAGTATAAATCATTTTTATCCAAAAAAACTAGCATTTTCCTGATATTTTTACCTGTATTGGATTTCTCTTCCAAAGGCAGCATCTCAATGTGAAAAAAAGACCAAAACCCCATGTTTTAGGCTTGTCTTTGGTAGAAGAAAGATTGGAAAGAAGAATGAATTAGATAATAAGTTCAGCAGAAGACTAGCTATATAGGCTGATAGTCAGGGAAATTATGTCAATTGTAGAATGTTGATTTGCTAGAGAAGAAAAATAATTTAAATTCATCAAAAGAATCCAAATTTGTTCTTTAACTGATCCTAAGAGATAATTTTTGTTTTTAAAAATAGGAACTAACCTTTACTATGGCCTACAATTGCACTCACACTACGGTTCACCCCATTGAAATGCTTGACAACAGCACGTATATCTTCCACCTCTTTCATGTAGTTTCCGTAGGCAAATGTACCATCGCTTTCTCTGAATAGCACAGGCAAGCAAGATTGAAGATTGTGCTAAAAAGAAATAATGTACAAAGTAATTGGGACTTAGGATTGCATTAAACATAAGGGATATTCCACCTGTCAATTATAAAACATAAATTGAAGAGAATATATGTAAGACAACACAGACAATGAAGTGCCAACAGAGGGGGAAGGCAGGAAGCTCCCACTCTTTCATCAAGAAAATTAACCTTCTCCCTATGCCAGACAAAAGGGTAAGCCGGTAAGGTAACCTTTTAGCGATGCCAAACAAAAACATTAAACCAGAAAAATGTAGATGTATATTGTTTTTTATAGTACCTGTAAATATAAAAGGCTGCAAGCACCATATAAAGAGATGCTTGTAAAAAATAACATTGCCAAAACTTAAAATCTATTTTAAATTCTATTCTTGCATGATAGACAATTCAACCATACAGTACTCCGTAACATTTAGAAGGAAGAAATACAGGGGTTTTTTTTTCTTTTCTTTAAGTTGTCCCTATATTGTTGAATTGTCTATACAGTCTGCCCTATTGAAGATTTTGTTTTCACACCGTGCTCCTCCACTCTGACGTCTTTGAAGATAGCAAGCATAGACTAGATGTAAATCACTAAGAACTTTGACAAAACTGACAAACCATCAATCACAACATACCCATTTCCAGAAAAATCAAACCGATAGGCACTTATTCCTTCCTTCTCCAATGCACCAGAGATGTTTACCATGTTTTTGTTCTCCTGCACACAAGTACCATAGGATCCAATTCAACAACAATGTATGACTCAAATTGATCAAATATCATTTCTACCAAAATCAGTTATATGAAGTTGCTGCTGGAAAACTTTCAATTAGAATACTAGATAATTTAACTAAATCTACCCGTCGTTACAACATTATATACATTGTGTTTTACGAACCTTACGACCCGTGAACCCGTGGCAGAGGATCACAACCTCTTTGGACCCTGTATCATGTAACAGCCCAACCAGCTTTTCGCTTTGATCATTGATTACGAATAATTTTTGTAGCTCGTTAGCTGAAAGAACATGATATTCTCTGAGTTATAATCAATCAAATTAAGGAAACCTCTCAACTTTAATTTTCTCTTCTACGATAACACCATTGTTTCTAAAATTAAACCAAAAATCCATATTAACTCCACATTTTTTTTTAATAATAGGCTTCAATTACATTACTGAAAATTAAACAAATGAAATTTAAACCCAACAAAATACATAATTAGAGCTTATATTAAATCAAAACCTAGAACTAGAAGCACAGTAATCACAATTATATCATAGGATAAAGCCATAAACAAAACTAATAAAAAATTACAAAAATAGATAAAAACCCGATTAATTTTTTATTACTATAATTAATTTTGCAGGAAATTCAATCAAAAGTATATAAAAGTTAGTAGGTATTTCACACAGCAAATCAATTCAACTTGGATTAAAATTGTTTATATTATGAAAAAGAAGAGAAGATTAAAATTGAATTATCTGAAGATGAATACTAAGCAAGAAAAGAGGAAGAAAGACCTGGGTTAAGCGACATTGTTGGAGTTCGAATGGATCGACGATTGAATGAAGGAGGAAATCGAAGTTTATGATGAAGATGAAGTGGGTATTTCTTTGAAGGATATGCTGTTTCTGGGAATGTTGTATGATTGGTGAGCGTACAGTGTCCAAATTATGCAATAATCTCGTCATTTTTTTTTAATCTTACGAATAACGTTAATTAAAAAAAAAATTGTGCTTTTTTTCCTAGGGAGCAATGGAGCATAACTGCACACAACATGGTACTTCCGGACAATCTGGTCAGAGGTGTCAAAATCACATCCGACCCGACCCGATTTAAAACCGATTCGAAAAATATCCGATTCAAATTTGGTCTCGCGTGGAAATATTAATTTAGCATGACTCAACTTTAAAAATTGACCCGACCCAACCCGACCCGACCTGATCTTCTGAGACCTGATCCGATCATTCGAATTGACACCTCTAGGTGTACAATGATCTATCCATCTCATAATACGGAGTAATTGCAATACTTTTCTTTTACATCTGTTTTATAAACACTTCGTTAATTGGTAGAAGATTCTATTCTCTTCGTCCCTAAACGTTCTTCCCATTTGTTATTTTGACACTATTCATAACTGTTGAGGCAAATATTGTTCTTTGCCAACAAGTCAAATACCTTATCTTGTTTTAGAGTATTAGGGGGCTGTCCCTCGAGTTATTGGTTTCAAAGAATTGATAACCTCGCTAAACGTAACAAAATAAACAATAAAGAAGCTTCCCAAAGAAATTAAATAAGTTAGATTGCTTAAATAAACGAGTAGATAAACATATGACAAAAGATACAAATGCTCTCCATTAATTAAAGAATAAAGTCAAGTCTACAATTGTACAAGTTGAAAGAAAGGTTACCTCCATGTTCATATAAAAGACAATTGGTTTTCAATACATGCTAAGGAAAACTACACTATCGTTTGGCTACTAAGCCAAGATAAAACTAAGAAAACTAAGAAGAAAGCTTAAAAAAAATGAAATGCTTGTTGTTGATTGATTTGTTAATGTCTTCATACGGTTTCCTTACCTTTATTTATAAACAAATTAGAGCAGTTGTGGCTTACTCCAATAATTGTTTTGCTGTTACTCTTGTTGGCGCTAACTCTCTTTGAAATCGAATTGTCTTCTTTTAATTTGTCTCCAAACTGGTCCTTTCTTCATATTGGGCCTTTGATTAAATCCAGCCCACCTTTAATTGCTACCATCGAATGACCCAAGTACTTCACCATAATTCTAGAGTTTATTTAACTCGGATAATGGGTCAAAGTCAAGAAAAGTCAGAAATTTAATTTTTGGGTGTAACAATTGTTGGAATAAAGAGAGTAAAAGTCATATTTCTCGGTTGGTTTGTGGCTTTTCTAGAGTATGATCAGTTTAATCCACAAGTAGGTTGTGGCCTACCACGTTTGCCCACAGGTGGGTTGTGGAGTAGACTTTTTCCATGTCTAGATTCACTCTTTGGCTTTCTACTCTTTTTCTTAGATTCGTTGATGGTCTTTTGCTATTCTTATGTAAACCCCTCATTCAAGTGGTTGTTTATTGTGATTAAATCATCTTTATTATTCTGATTTAATCACTCATTTAATGGTTACATTTGACTCTTCGTACTCCTTGCATTGTGTATATATGGGTTGGAATCTTTTCGGAAAACATAAGACTACATACACATTATACATATCAAAAGAGATAAACACATTTCTTCTTCTTTTGGGCATAAGTTTATATGGCTCCACCTCTCACCCAAAAGTGCCTTTGAGTGAGAGTGGTGTGTAACCTTAGGGAACGTATCGGCGATACAATGTGCACCCCGATTGCGCCGGAATTCGTTTTCAAATTCAGTGACGAAATGTCATGCCACACCATTTTCCTTTGATCAAACAAACACATTATTCTTATATTTTTGTAGCCTTTGAAACACTTATTTTACAACAATTTTGAAAATGAATTATTAATTATCAATGGCTACTCAATGGGTATTGATTGAAAGATTGTATGGTGTGAAGAAAAATAATTTTTTGGGAAAAGTTTATGTTCACGTTTCTGGGAGCAGTCCCGAAGATGACCGCCGATCAAAGGTCATTTATGGTCGGTTTTGGCTGAAATTTTGGGAGCTTGTTCGGGACATACAATGCTTCATTTTCAACGGTTAGATCATTGATAGCAGCTCACATTTTGGATTTATGACGACATCTTTGAGCTGCATTTTTGGAGTGGATGTTTGGGCGTATTACGAGAATGCTCATTCTCATTTCTTGAATTAATTTAAGGGAGGTCCATTCTAAACCAATTTTTATATTGATTATGTTTAGCTTGTGGTTTAATATCTAATAATCCTCTTGACAAATATATGAGTTGTGATTTTTTGGCATTATAATAATGTTGGATGATTATTTTGTCCATAATGTATTATTTGTTATATGATTATTAGTTTATAGGCTAAAGTATAATCCATGTTATATATGTGTGATATTACATGGTATGATTATTTCTATCTCTTTGTTCTATGCTTGTGGTTTGAACTTAGTACTTATAAATATTTTAATTGGTTTTATTTACCAATATGTTGGTTTTTTTTAACATATGTACTGTTTTGTTCTTTGAGAGAGTAAATGTTAGGCTATTGTTTTAGATTAATTTCTATTAGCAATATGTTGAGTACCTAATGTTTACATGCCTATTTTGATAGATAATTCATGGTTATTTAAGACTTCTTAAATTGTAGGTTTTATAAGTTTTACCATGAATTTTGTGCTACGTTGAGTATGATATCAAAGATTATTATTTTTAGCATATGCAAATATATACCTTGATATGTATATGTCATGCTTAGGGATGGCAGTGGATCTGGACCCGACCCGGATCTGTGGATCCAGATCCGCTTTTCACGGATATGGGTCTTCAAATTTTGGACCCGACGGATCCGGGTCGGATCTGGGTCTTTTTAAAAAAAAAGGATCTGGATCCGGGTCTAACTATTAGACCAGGATCTAGATTCGTTTACCAGTTTTATAATTTTTCTGAAAAAAAAACTAAAATTTCTAATTATACATTTGGCCAAGCCCAAATATACAACTCTGAAAGACACTTAGGTCGCTTGCGAATTGAAAGTTAAATATTGTCTCCCCTCCTAACTTTCTCTCTCTACCCCTAACTCCCCTAAAGCCCATCAAGTCTGCAACTATGGCGAGCGAACCTCTATCTAGTCGGAGATCGATCCTCCATTACTAAGCACCGAGGAGCTTCTCCAAGTGTTGGCCAACCTCCATTCATCAAGACCCTTTCCCTCGTTGTTTTCCTTTAATTCATTGTTTGTACAAGCGTGGCAACGGCTGGTGGCGAGCAATAAGAACAAAGCCCAATGGCTGATGGTGCTTTGTAGTAGTCAGTAGAGTAGTTCTTTTATTTTCAGTCTTTGTTTGTGTTTTCTTTCTCGTTTGTTTCTAGGGCTTGCCCCTCTTAAGTAGGGATGACAGTAGATCTAGACCCGACCCGACCCGGATCCGTGGATCCAGATCCGTTTTTCACGGATATGGATCTTCAAATTTTGGACCTGACGGATCCGGGTCGGATCTGGGTCCTTTTGAAAAAATTGGATCTGGATCCTGATCCGTTTACCTGTTTTATAATTTTTCTGAAAAAAAACTAAAATTTCTAATTATACATTTGGCCCAGCCCAAGTATACAACTCTAAAAGACACTTAGGTCGTTCGCGAATTAAAAGTTAAATATTGTCTCCCCCTAGTACAAACCCTAACTTTCTCTCTCTACCCCTAACTCCATTAAAGCCCATCAGGTCTGCAACTATGGCGAGCGAACCTCCATCTAGTCGGCGATTGATCCTCCATTACTAAGCACCGAGGAGCTTCTCCAAGCGCTGGCCAACCTCCATTCATCAAGACCCTTCCCCTCGTTGTTTTCCTTTGATTCATTGTTTGTACAAGCGTGGCCACGGCTGGTGGTGAGCAATAAGAACAAATCCCATGCTTGATTGTGCTTTGTGGTAGTCAGTAGAGTAGTTCTTTTATTTTCTGTCTTTGTTTGTGTTTTCTTTCTCGTTTGTTTCTAGGGCTTGCCCCTCTTGAGTCTTGACCACCAAAAAAAAAAAATGTTCCAATTTTGTGATTTTTATTTACTTTGCTTTTATCTGTTTTAATTTTGTGTATTTTTTTTATTTAATTTGCTTTTATTTGTTTTAGTTTTTTGTTGTTTTTTTAAAATTATATAGTCTACAGACTTCAGATCTTAATTTTAAGAATAAGCCTTCTGCATGTACGAAGTATACTACAAGTCTATAAGCAATAATGCAAGCTATAATAATTGATTTGTTAAAAATTGAAAATAAAGGAAAGTTTGGGCCAAAACATGTAGGACCCGTTTTAAACCCAGATCCGGTGGACCCGTCGGATCTGGATCTGGATCTCTAATTTCTAGACCTAACGGATCTAGATCCGAGGTTGAAAAACGGATCTAGATTCGGGTCCATCCGGACCTGGTTCATATCCGACCCGTTACCATCCCTAGTCATGCTTGTGGAAATTTTGTTCATGCTCAATGCTAAATGCCTACATTGCACTTATCCATGAATTTCGTGAACTTGTATTAGTTTTACGATTTCTTGAGTGAGTGAAGGTTTGAATAGAATCATGCAATGTTGTTTGTGAAGAGTTATACGCTTTGTCCCCTAATAGTACTATTTATTTTAATGGTTGCTTTTGAGACTTTTAGATGTGTTAAGCTTCCATAACTATTATTTATTACTCTTGATATTCTTTGGGTGATAATATTTTATTTTTTAATGTGTTAACAAAGTTTGTTTTTTTTTTTTTTTTTTTTTTTTTTTTTTTTTTTTTTTTTTTTGACAGGAATGTGTTAACAAAGTTGTGTTAACATTATGATGTAAATTTTGAAGTAAAATATGTTTGAATTATTATTTTCAATTCAATGGTTAGATTATTTTATTTCATTAGTGTCACCTTAAGAGAGAGTTTTCAAGAGTTATTAATTCTTATAGCATGTTTTGCTCGTTTTTTGTTCTTACTTGGTTCAATTTGGTTTAGTATTGACATTTGTTTAAAGAATTATTATCGATTTCTTTATCTGTGGAAAGTGATTCTTAAGAATTTTATTTCTTTTGATGCTATA